CTTCATATTCAATTGGATGTCGTGTTTTCAGGTGGTGTATCAAACCTGTTGTTGAAAAGTTCTTTGGCACCGTACCTCCTCTTGATATTTTCACAGAACAAATGTTGCATATTGCAGCTTTGCTGTCCTTACCTGAAACTTCAAAATGCTTCCATACCGCTGACATGCTTTGTCATTGATGGGGAGACGCGTGATATAACAGCTCCAGCGTGAGTGAAACCTAACCTGTGCTGCGCGAGGATGGGCATTTTCAGCGTGCCTTTTCGGCGTGTTTTTTTTTTTATTCTGGCCCGAAATAAAAATGGCCTTTTCAGGGGGCCAAAAGTTCGGTGCACCCCTAGTTTTTGTTTATTCCCACAATGTATGTATCAGTGGTTCCTAACCCAGATGTCAGGACTTGACTAAAACATTTCTGCTGCACAAAAGTACATTTACTGTTTCAGATTTCAACGATTGTTTCCCCTTTTCTTATGAAATACTTTATAATTTTCCCTCTGTTCCTTTGAAAAAGTCAAGACAGACCGTTTAAATCTTTTTTTTTTTTTTTTAGAAATCCCTTAGTATTATGTGTGTGTGCCTGCAGGAATATCCAGCAGAAAGGAGTGCCCAGCCGACGGGCCATACCGAGCATCTCGAAGAGTCGTGAGGAAGAGATCAGGAAGATCCTACGAGCCAACCTGCAGAAGACCAGACAGAAGGTAGGGCAGTTCGGGTAAATCCTAATTCCCTTAATTGTTTCCACTTTGCCCTCACTTGCATCTATTCCTTGCATCTTCTTCCTGCCTGCATAATGTGCAAGGAAAAAAAACGAGGAGAGAGGACTCGAGTAAAGACATTTTTAGACACACAAAACGTCCTTTCCTCCTCCATCTGAAGCATCCATCCACCCCAGGTGATTTCCAATAAAGGGGTGTGTCTGGCCTTAAGACTTCCAGGGTGTTTGTGTATCCTCACTCCTCAGAGCAGGAATAACAGCTTTGGGACGTCCTTCAACATGGCGAACTAGAACACCTTCCAGGTCCAGTGAAGAACAACCAAATAAGGGAATTGGGATTTACTCCATAGTAATTTACTGATGAATGTCTGTGAACGTGATGGATGCAGATTTTTTTTTTTTTACCAAATGTTTTTTAGCATTGATGTGTTACAGCCACATTCGTTAGTAGACAAGACTTTAGGTATTTTAAAAAACTGATGGTTTCGTAAATGTTTTTGCCCCACAGCTTTATTCCTACAGGAGACATGACCTGGTGATGGACCCCTTCGAGGATAATGTGAGTGAGATTCGCTTCAGGAGGCAGCGAGCAGAGATGGAGAAGAGGGTGAGTTCTAACACTGTGATTGAGTTTGTGAACATTTCATCTGTGGAAGTACAAGAGATTTCTAAGTGTCTGTGTGATTGTACTTGGTGATTTTTGTCCTGCTAGAATGGACAGCTCACTGTGGGTAACAGCGCTGACTAAATTAAAATGTAGCGGGGTCTCCGAATCACCACCCCTGAGTGGTTGTTCAGTGGTCATCTATATCCGTGTCAGTGTCATCTGTATCTTAGGATCTTCAGGATTATAACATTTGTTGTCCTTTACACCAGTAGAAATAAATGACCTCCTGACAAACATGCGTGTGTGTGTGCATGCGTGCGTGTGTGCGTCTTATTCACAGATGAGTCACTACCTCACCGTCCCTGCAAACCGCCAGGAAACACCATCTGTAAGAAAAGTCTGCTTTGAACCAGGTTGGTTGAACAATGCAGATTATTTTTCATTATATAAAAGCTTCACTAGGAAAAATAGGTTTTCTGTGTAAAACAATATTTTGACTGCATATTTCTGAAATAAGTAGCAATGTTGGGAATCAACTTAATGTTGATTTAAAAGTGTGAAATAGGGTAATATTAATTTTAATTTCCACCTTCAATCAATGCAAAGGCTTTTGATATCAAATAACTTTTTCTAAATGTAAGTATATATTGGGAACATGTGACCTGAACAAATTGATAACAAAATGTACATTGAAGAGCACATAGCTATGTAATACCTTTTTACCAAACTGTTTGTCAGACTTTATTTTGCACAGTAATCCAAAAGCCTATGGAAAAATCCTATCGGCATTTTGTTGAGGGAACCAATGTGATGCTAACTTCTGGGTTGGCTTATAATAATATGGCACTCTATGGAGACAGTTGTGTTTTTTTTCTTATTATTAAAACTTCTAACTCATTCGTTTTGGAGTCTGACCTAGATTATGGAATTAATGTGATGTTATCTTGGTCTCTGTTATATTAATTTGACCTTTCCCATCTTCATGGAAGTACCTCTTTAAAATAGCTCAGAAGCACCAGCACCTAAACATCCCACAAACAGTTCCAAGCTTTAACTTCTGCTCAGCCAAAAAACAAAAAAGTCCCTTGTTCTGTGTGCTACAGGTGCATACAGAAGACATTTGTGTTCTAATGTGTTGGTGTGTTGTCACTGTGTCCCAGAAAACAAGGTGTACACTTACGATGACAGTGAGAGTCCCAGAGGCCGGGCAGCTCAGCCGAGTCCCAGATTACCTGATGCCATTAGCCTGCTGAGCAAATCACCCCAGAGGCCCAATCAGACCAGCGCATTGCGTGCCAAAGGGAGCACTGAGCTGAGGGCGAAAGCACCAGATGAGCAGGAGGAGCAGGACCAAGTGAAGCTATCACGCTGCTTTAGTGACCCCGGTCCGAACGAGGAAGAGGAAGAGGACGGCTCTTTCCTCTCATGATAAAGCACATATCTAAAGAACTCGAAAGATGAGAATGAATTTGTCTGTCTTCTGTTGTCGTCTGTTGCATCCTCAAAGTGAAGATCCCTGAATGAACGGGATTTGTAGCTATGCTTATTTATAATTTTTTGTGTTTTTCAAGTTATGTGAACTGATTTTCCATTATTTTGTTGTTTTTGCAAGTTCAGATATTTTTTTGATATATAATATCAAAGCAGAGATCACTGGCCTGTTGCGATTACATGATTGTATGTCTGAAGTGAGAAAAGTGTCCACATTGTGTCCCAACATGAAGACTTGCATCAGATTGTACTAAAAGACAGAGCACTTGTTTTAACAAGTTTGAAGCACCACATGGGTGGAGTTAACCCTTTCAAAGCACAGTATAAGAAATGCTATAAAGCAGAGTCTGTGTGATACATTGTCCAGTATTATCACAGTTGGATTGGGTGTATATGTTGGCTGATGCGTTACGAGAAACTGCAGTAGAGAAATCCAAAGATGTGTTTTTGAGATCATTTAAAAAAGTGTCACCAATAATCTTCCAGACAACTCAAGGTTGGTTTTATCCTCTGACACCGCCCTCCACAGAGCCATGCAGCTACAGTCTTTTGTTACAAATTTGTGATCCAGACCAAAATGTCTTTGCAACTGTTGGACAGATTGCCAGGAAAGCCTGTACAGACCATCCCCCCAGGATGAATTCAAGTGACTCCAGTGATCCCATGACTTTTGTTCTTGCACCTCCATGAGGTTGACATTTGTGATTTTGAGAAAGATGTCTTAACGAAGGGTGGACGGATTACCGCGAAATTTGGTGCACACATCCATGTAAACCTCTGAATGAACTTGCAATGATATTAGTGATGACTGCTTTTCCATCTTGCGCCATCATCAGACTTTAAATTGGTGCATTACTTGTTGACATTCCTATCAGCCTCAGCTGTAGCCAACTTTGTATTTAGTGGTAACTAGTAAATGTTAGCATGCTAAACTAAGATGGTGATTATAGTAAACAATACTTTCTCTGCATTAGAATGTTAGCAGTGTCAGCAGGTTCACGTTAGCCTTTAGCTCAAAGCCCCAGCCCAGAGCCGCTAGCATGGTTGTGAAGTCTTCGTCTTGTTGCTTAATGCGCACTATATTCACTGACTGGGAGATTCTGAAACATAGCACATGCTTTTAACGTGGAAGGAACAGTGTTAAAAATGTGTAGATTTATCTGCAAACTAAAACTTTCTCTTTGATTTGAGTGACACTTTCCCCTCTTTAGATCTTGTTTTTGTTTTGTCACTCTACCATATTTGTATCTGCTCCAACAGTCCTCATCAGTCTATACTTTTAATTGTAAAATGTACATGAGAATATAATCTCTGGTGAAAGACAACTTACTTTAAAGTGTTCAGATACCCTCGTGAAACAAAAACACCAATCTGGTGATACTAAAATAGCTTAAAATTCAAGAACAAACTGCAGATATTGTTTGACCGAAGCCCGTGTACAACCTTAGCACTGACTGTATTTAACATCACTGCATGACTGATCGATGTTTTTCTCAGGGACTGCAACACAGCACAGTATTAACAGTGTTTCCATCTAAATTGTGCTCCTCAGTGATCTGTTTGTAATGTGACTGTTTTCTAGGTTAAAGTGTTTCAACTGCCAGAGCTTCTGTAACATTCCCACAGTGATCGGGGTTGTCTACTTGGTCGGAGTAAACATGGAGTTGCATCTTAGCATTTTCAAAACAAAGCTCTATATGTGTTTTGTGAACTGAACATGCTTCAAGATTTGTGCTGGGAGATTAAAGAGACTGAATCAACTTTTCATATCTGCACTACATAGCACTGGGCTGCCAGAGTGTTGACTGCCTGCACACGTTTGCCTTAAAATGCTTTTGTTTTTGTGTGTTTGCCAGCTGATGTTTTATAACTTGAAAAAAAAGTGCTGAAGTCATAAATATTTGTCAAATGAAAAAAAGCTTTAATTCTTGTCTAAAATAAATGCTTTGTCATTGCTTAATTTCAGTCCTTTTGTTATTTTGGGGGAAAAAAATAAGTTACCTGTGTAGTGTCAATTCTTTAAGACAATGATACATGATGTATTCTGCTGTGCTCCTGGTCTTTAACGATGTTGCACAACAACATCATAAGCACCAACTGAATATTCAGCCCATCTTGCCTCTCACAGGAAACCCATATCCAAATAACAGGGAGTTTGAAGTCCCCAGCATCCCAACCAGCTGAGCATGATGGGATTCTGAGAAGAACAAACATCCTTGGACAAGCAGCACATGCAACAGGCATGGATTTCGTTGGCACCTGGAAAGTTTATTCTGAGGAAAATCTTGAGGAGTTCTTGAAAGCAGTTGGTAAGGATACTTTTATATTTAATTTATTTCCCTTTTTCTGCTTATAACATGTAATTTTGTTATTCCTCTTTAAGAGGCACCTGAAATGATTCTCAAAATGCGAAAGGACTTCAAACCAACAGTAGTCATCGAGCACAATGGCGATGAATTCATCTACACACTGAAGACTCCAGTTTTTAACAAAGTCCACTCATTCAAACTTGGCAAAGAGACAGAGATTATTACAGTGGATGGCAGAAAGTACAAGGTAATTCAAGACTCAAGCTCTTTGTGTATAATATAAACATCAGAGTTTTATGTGAGCTGATGCTGACTTGTTTTTTTTACCATGAGAAGTGTCATAGTGAGTCTACTGTACAGATTTCAGTTTGACTGCAGTCATATTTTTGTGTGCACGCTGTAAATGATCTCCCTTGGTGCCATCTTATGCACGTACAATCGAAACAAACTGACTCATGAAGAAGCAAGAGAACGTTTGCATTGATGCTTGTAACATTATCAAGATTCAGTTTGCAAGATTTGTTTAGAATGACAATCGAAAATGATGAAAATCTTTGGATGGATTTTTGAAAAGGAAGAAAAAAAGCAGGTGGCCCTCACTAAACAAATGTCAGTTGAATTCAAAACATTTACAAAATCTTGTACTTCAGTTCACATCAGTAGGCAGAGGAGATGTGTGGGTTGTATGTATAAAACATTTGCAGTTTTGGGCAGTGGTGGTAGAAGCACTCTGATTCTTTACTTGAGTAAAAGTAGCAATACCACAGTGTAAAGGTCCTGCATTCAAAAACTTAAGTAAAAGTACAAAGGTATTGACATAAAAATATACTCAAAGTACCAAAAGTATAAGATTAGTTTGTGTTTCCTTGCATTTACTGGAAAATCTTCTGGGTATAGATCTAATAAACATAATGTAGCTTCAGTGGGAGCAACACTTTTTGGCAAATTCAGTTCAAGAGCCTCTTTCCACCATGCAATGTCTTTGCTCTGGAGCAGTGCACTGTCAGAGAGGAGAACGGCAAGCTGATTGCTCAGACTGACAAGTTCGCCTCTGTCCGAGAGATCCAAGGTGACGAAATGGTTGAGGTTAGTGGTTTTAATTCTTTCAAAAACTTCCATAAACATGAGGGATTCGGTGTTAGAAGTAAACAGACTGTGAGGTTTTTATGTAAATCAGCTGTGTTTTCTTTCTGTCTCTGTTTCTGTGCTCTTCCAGACTATCACCGCTGGCTCTGTAACCTTTATCAGTAGAAGTAAACGAGTCTGATCGACACCTGGCATCTCATGGATCGCTCTCAGACCATCTGGGCCTTAAGCAAGTGGCCATCTGGAAATAATACAGATATAAATACAGCTAAACACATTTATGAATAAACTGGAATGATTAAATAAACCAGCATGTTTGTTTTTATTAAGTTCATTGCATGGGACAGATCACGAGTCAGCAAGCCCCTTGAGCACTGACATGTAAAATGCCGCCATACAGCCGAAGACTGAAAGGGACTCAAAAAACTACCAATAACTTGGCTTGCATGTCTTTGTAGTTGTTTTCCATTTCTGTATGGTAATTTTGTGTGTCCTTCTGGGAACTTTGTGACCCCTTGTTGTTGTTTTGTCTGTGTGGACATTTTTGGTCTCTTTTCCATCTCCTTGGCACCATTGTCTGTGTCTTTATGGTCATTTTGCATCTCTTTTTCCATCTCCATGTGGTTATTTTCTTTGTCCTTTTGGTAATTTTGTGAGATCTTGTAGTTGTTTTGCATCTCCTTTTGTTTGTCGTGTGTGTCTTCTGTCATTTTGTGGCTCTTTTTGTTAATGTTGGGTCATCTGTAGTCATTTAGCATTTCTTTGTTGTTATTTTGGCATTTACTTTGTCATTTTAGTTTATTCCCCTATTAAAAACCGTAATGGAGGAAAAATGGAAGAAAACTCGGGAAGAAAAACTGAAGAAACCTCCCTTTTCCAGGCTGGACAAATATGCAAGGAAAACATTTAAGTTATTTTGGATAGTTTGTAGTCGCTTTGCATCTATTTCTATGCATAATGTGTAGGCGTTCAAACGGCAGAGGACGCTGTGGTCGCTTATTGCCTGATATTTGAGTTACTGAGCCGAAGAAGAACCAGAAGGCGCCTTCAAAGTACGCACGCGCTTCTTATTTTTTCGTTGGTGGAGTTGTCCCCCCCAAAAATTTCTTGCTGAGTGAGTTTAGGTTTATGGCCAGATACATGAGGCCTCCAAACACGTCTTTGTTTGTTAGGAACATCGCCGATGAATCCAGGTGAGTCCACATTCAGGTGGGTTTAGAACCACAGATCAAGCACTAACTAACGTTAACTAACTTCTTAATGGCAGCTAACAGTTAGCTTAGCAGCTAATGTTAGCCTCCTCGAAGGAGAAGCTAAATCAACGTGCAGAGGTGCTAAACGTCGAAAATTATTTGTTAGTGCCCACACATTTTACTCATAGCTATACCAAAATGGTATCCGTAATCATAATGCGTCCTTATTAATTTATTTTGTAACGTTTCTTTGTGTGGCCAATGCATTGCCCATGCACATTTTCCTGTGTAAGTAAACTAGCTAACATAGCAAGCTAAGATGACGTTAACGTTACGCTCGTATACAAAAATATGAGTGATTATTTTGCGGGTAGAATATGTCAGATGTGGAAAAATAAAATTGCATTTGTTAAAAGGCAGTTTTTGGATAACGCAGTTTTGGTTCGTCCACGTGCGATTATTTCAGTTAACCATTGGTGATTTTAATTGATTAATATTGAATCGATTAACGCTGTTTTACTCACATTTACAGATATGAACACGTAACGTTATCCTTAATTAATAATCAAGTAGTTAAACGTTACGTTTATGTTCACTTCCCGTAGTAGCTGTTATTTGCCGGTTAAACGTTACATTTCAGTTGATGATCACTTCCTGTATGTAGTAAGTGTTAGTTGCCGGTTAAAACGACAAACGCTAAACAAGTAATATTACTGACCAACGTTAACATTATATGTAAGTTTAGTGGTTAAATATCATTATTGTTTGTCTCCACCCTGTTTTCACCTGCACATCACCAAAACACTGGCACATATTTTCTTAAACAAAGCAAAAGAAAGGTAATCATCCACTGGGCCCCGTTAAGAAAAACTGTGAAACTAGACAGCCGGTAATTTTTTATCACACTGTTACAAACTACACGAACATGTTGGTAATTAAATTCATAATTCGCTGGCTTGTCCATGGCATTCATTTCAGAATAAACTGTTATACCAAAATGTACAGTCTATAAATGTTTGTGTTTACAAAGTAGCACACTTTAATCTGACTTATAAACATTACCCATGTCTCCATACTGCTAATATAAAAAAAACTGAATTTTGTTTAGACCACAGTTACTACTTCATAATCCTATTACCTGTTAGCAGCTGCTGCCTAGAGCTAAATAACGCTGTGATATGGATGCTGGAAAAATCATGTTAGTGCTCATTTTACTCTGTGGGTTTTCTGCTCACCATAGTAACACAGTGCCCAATGCATTTCATTTAGTTTGTATTTGTTAAAGGGTTGTACATTGCATTTGATAACAATATAACCTGAATGGAGCAACAGTCCTGTATCTGCATATGTCAGTTTTACATCTGTTAGTGGGTTTTTACATTTAATTGCATGTTAACAAAGTGTGTATATCTTTAAGGGACAGTTCACCAAAAACCTCTGATTGATATTTCAGAATTGATTAATTTTGATTAATTTCTCTGATTCAGTTGCATCAGACTGAATAAGGTAGAAGCCACACACTGTTCATTTGACTTTCCTGGCCTCACATCCTGTAGACAGAGAGGATGTCCTCAACAGACCCAAGCTAACAGCTGAGATTAGTGTTTATCAGATTCTTTTTTTTTCTAGACAGTTTCTCTTGATGCAGTACGAGATGGCCAGAGTCAGCTAAACATCCTGACAGTCCTGTAAACAGCAGCAAGTCCACATAGACTGTTACTCTTCGTGTCACAGTTTACAAGGTCATTGTGACTGAAGGCGGCTAAAATAGTCGGCTTGCATGGTAATTTTTAGCTTAAACATTTTTGTGCATGCTGTAATAAGTTGGTATTGTACACATCTTGCACCCCTGACTGAACCACTTACATCAAGTAACCAATGCATATCCATAATGTTTAGTGTAGGTGGTCATGGTTTTTGAGAATAGGTGCAAAGATCAATATTGGGATTTTTAAGACTCAATATTTGAGCATTCAACTAACAACTGTGATTGATTGGAAAATCAATTTTTCAATAAAAAAAAAGACTCTAAACTTCAGCAAATAACACAGTCTATGTGGATAGGTGGGTTGCTCTACAGGTTAGACAAACAAGAAAATGTCTTGCGGTGTTGGGGTGAACTGTCCCTTTAGCTCTCCCAGCTGTTGCCAGCCAGCTCTTGTTATGTAGGTAGTTTTGCCCATGATGATTTTTTGAGTCATACTTGTATTTACGGTGTTCAGGCCTGAGGATTTGCGGCGTGAGTTTGGCCGCTATGGGCCGATAGTAGATGTCTACATCCCACTTGACTTCTATACACGACAGCCAAGAGGATTTGCATACATTCAATATCCTTTACCAATGAGTTTTCAACTGTATTCTGTGCTCAAGCTAACATTTTCATTTTCTTTCAGCAGAGAAGATTTGTTTTTATAATGTTTTTCTTGCACATAATTTGATTGAATATCTAACACACATATTTCTCTGTTATTGCTTCAGAAAATGTAAAAGCATCCAGTTGTGGAACCGGCCACAAAGAGTAACAAAGACCCGTGTAGAGTAGCTGTAAAGACAAGTCACACACAGACCTGCAGGATCAGAGGGAGGGAAAAGGTTGAAAAGAGAAAGTAAAGCATGAAGAGGAAAAGGGAACGGAGACAAAGCTTGGATATGGCGACAAAGAATGGGGAAAAGAAAAGAGTTTTAAAAGGCAAGCAGGAAACCCAAGTCTCACTGGGAGTCGGTTAAAGAGTGTAAAGATCAAGATGAAGTTCAAAGTCAAGCATGGGCAAAGGTAACAAGTCTGAATAATTTTGTATCCTCCCAAGACGACAACACAAATTTGACACCAAAATCAGCTGTCCCTGTTATATTGATGGCTTTTTAATTGTGGTCAGATCTAGTTAATCAAGTGTTAATGTGTTTGATTTGTTCATGTAGTTTGTCCTGATCCTTGGACAGTGATTTGTTGTTTGAAAAGCCTGCTTCATCTTTTATCTCTACAAAAAGTGTGTATATGTATGTTGTTGTTGTTGTTGTTTTTCTTTCAATTGTCTTACAGTATGAACTAATACATATAAAATTCACGGTCATTTTAAATTGCTTTACATTATAAATTTGGCCACACAAATAAAATGTTGGTCGAATGCCCTCCAACCCTCTTATCATGAATGTAAAATACCCAGTGCAAATGAAGTGGGTGTGAAAACATTAGAATTAGGTGGTAAATCAGTTGATGTGAGGGTTGGGTCTTAATTGAAATTTGTGAAAATGAAATTGATTATTGATAGTTTAGTTTTTCTTTTCGTCACTTTCTTTGAGAGCGAAGCATTTTAGATTTGTGTGGCTTTACCAAAAACAAGAGGAAACAAAACCCTTAACCACCCAGTATGTTTGAGGATGTGCGTGATGCAGAAGATGCTCTTCACAGCCTGGACAGGAAGTGGGTTTGTGGCCGGCAGATTGAAATCCAGTTTGCCCAGGGAGACAGAAAGAGTAAGTAATTTTTACCAACTGCTCTTGGTCATGCGTCATGCAGCAAACTAAACTGGCCAGGGAAGTACTGACAGGTCTGTGTTTGTGCCACTTCCCCTGTACTGCCCGTTGTTGACCCCTGTCTCATAACTGTCTTTTCAACAGCACCAAATCAGATGAAAGCCAAGGAAAGGCGTTCTCCAGGCAGATCCTCTCGCTACGATGACTACGATCGAGACAGTCGGCGCAGACGTTCACGCAGCCGCAGCTATGAGAGATACAGATCGCGCAGTCCTTCGTATGATCACCGGCGCAGACGATCTGAGAGTCCTCGAGAGTGAGTTCATCTCTCTGTAACCTGTTAGTAAAAACCTGATCTAAGTTATGGTAGCCAGAAAAGGAGGATAACAGTTTGGATTTTGTCCTCAGCTCTCGTGGACGAATGTCTGCAAGAAGAAGGAGCAGGAGCCGTGAGGATGAACGGTACAACTTCTGACTTTAAGATATACACCCAGTGGCTGCTGTACTAGGTACACGTGTACAATGTAATGTACTCCAATATGTCCACCCATGAGCCATACCCACTGATGGTCAGGGGCTGATGTCTTTTTCTGTCCATTAGAAAAAGAGCAACTCCTATGTTTGTCATTGTGCCTTTCAAATCCCGGAGCGCTCTTCATTGCCAGAAAGTGGCACCCATGTTTACACAGATTTTCAACCCTGTCTGATCATAATCCTTCTGACCTCCTCATCACCTGTTTAGCTGTAGGCTGTCCCAAATGGAAATTTCTGGGCTTCAGAGATTTACTAGGAGTAATGAATTAAAATTGTAGACTGTACCCTTAATGAAGTGGCCACTGAGTGTATGTATGGTGGTTGGCATCTGATGGTGTTTTTCACATGTTGTTACAAACACTTTTACAGATGGGCTCTGTATTTAGGTGTCAAATTATATGGAGGAGGCTGAGTGCACAAGTAGAGATAAATGGTGTCAGATGGCATTTTTATACATTTGCCTGGTTGATGCCCTGACAATTTACAGTCAGCAGTCTTTTTTTTTTTTTTTTATTTAAGTTGCATGGTGTTGGCATTGTAAGGTGCTGCTTTAAATTTGTCCACACAGGTTAATTATACGTGTTGCCTCACCATGTGGATTACATACCTGCACCAGTGCCATCAAGACACAATGCAGCATGTCCTCTGTGACTTGGATGCATTTATTCAGGAAGTGCATGAGCTGCAGCGTCTCTGTCACTACCATTTGTCTTGCTGTGTGTCAGACACAGGCAGAGGACTCGGAGAGAGTCCAGAGGGAGATCTCGATCACACTCCAGATCTGCAACCCCACGAGAGGACGTCAACCAGGCTGCATCTTCCCATTACCCTGAGGAAGAGGTGCGACGGACACGCACCCCGTCCCGCTCCAGATCCCGGTCGGTATCGAGATCACACTCTCGTTCACGTTCTCGCTCCCGATCCTGGGCCGGACGCAAGTCAGGAGGACGCTAGAAATAATCCTTTGTCTAACCTTCATTCAGTCATATGGACTCAAGTCGGTCATTTGTCGAGGGAAGATTTGTTTGTTTTGACATGAATGTAACGTAGAGACCTTGTTTTTGTGGCTCTGTTTCAAGAACAGCACTGGGCCTTGGTTTTTTAAAATTTTGTTTTGGTAATATTTCTTCCTGACAGTAATATAACACAGTCAGCAGTTTCTATGTCCAATGGTAATTGGCCAGGAATAATGTTTTTTTATATATATATATACAGTTATTGATCATTTTGTTTTCTAAAGCTTATGCACCATTTTTCGCAAGAAAGTACATTCAGTATTTTAAAAAGAAATCCAGTCCATTAATGAAGCAAACCAGCATTTGTTTTATCGCTTTATAACATATATCATACTTGCATTACTGCTGACTATTATCTACAGCTGAAGTGTAGATTCTCCTTGTTTTTCACTCTCCTGGCAGCATCAGTATATGTTTATTGCTCAGTGAGTCTGAACTTTTAAACCTGCTTGAGATTGAAAATTCATCACTTTGAACATTATTGAAATCAATTTTTGTCAGTTACAGACTGAATTGAGACTCGTGGAATTATCCTGCAGTAATAACATGGTTGAGGAAGACAAAAGCAGATGTGATGTTCACTGTGAGTTGAGCTTCAAGGTCTTGATTTTTATATTTTAAAGCCACTGGCTGCCTGGAAGAAACAAACAAATGTAAAGACTGGTCTGTGTCAGTTATGCCAAGTATAGATGTGCAGGTTAAAATACATGGAACTGCTGCTGTGGTCCTTAAAGTGTTAAACATTTATCAGCCAGTGACTTTAACCAAATATAGTTTAATTAGTTTTAATTTTGTGGTGTTTTTCTGTAGGAGTAGACATTGCAAAAGGTATTTCACATGTCTCCAAATATTGGTTATGAATAGAGGAGCAAAAGTTTCTCATTGGTGTTTACACGACCGCGTGTCAACGGTTTTTTCTAAATGAATCTAGCCACTGCATGTTTTATCCTCCTAATCTTCTATCTTTAGTAGGGAGAAACTGTTATTTTGAGTAATAAATTGATAACATTCAGCATAAGGAAACGAAGTATGGCCTCAGTTTGTCAACTCTGATTGTAGGTATTGAACAATGCAATCAGTTCAGGTTTGTCTGTGGAGCCTAATGTCAAACAGTGTCTCATGCCCCTTTTCCATCGCCAGGTACCGGTTCAACTCAACTACACTCGGCTGACTTTTGGTACCAGGGGCTTCGTTTTCTGCTGCAGATAGCCGCCCCCTGCAGTGTAGCTGGTTGTCACAGCGGTGCCACATGAAACTTCCTTGAAGCCACTGGCCTGCAGTGGTGGCAGGGCAGGCAGGCTCAGAGCTGTTATCATTTTCATCCTAGGACTGTTATTATGCCATTTTATTAAGTTTTGATAGTTTTTCGGGCAAGAAAATAACCATGTAGTCCTCGAATATGTGGTCAATCTATCCAAGTAATGCCAATTACAGATTTGCTCCTATGTTTTCAGATGACCTGTGATGACCTGCTACCATGCCAGGTCCACTTAGCAGTCATAGCTGTAGCCATTGTGCTCATGTTATCACATTCAGTAATCTATGGGCTATGTGATAAGATGCACGATGTGGTGATTAATAGTTATGTTATATACTAACCCAGGCTCAAGCGTGTCACCATACATGTGACCCTCTAACACTCGTGGAGGTGGTAGTGCTTGTTATGAATGAATGAAGAACAAGCCATTGATGTCATCACATGTAAACATGTAGGTTCATCGCTGGCTGCATAGTAGTTATGAGTTTCTCTGTCCAGTGGATACTGTAGTGTTTACATGCCACCATTTGAGGTGATACCAAAAATAGTACCGGACATTGGTACTATTGGTTAGAGTCATCGGTTGAGTTGGTGTCGCAGATGGCTGCCATCGGTTCTGTACCGGAAACAAATTCCTTGTGTGTAACATATTTGTCCAATAAAGGTGATTATTCTTATTAGATACTATCCTTGACATTTGACTGAAAAACAAATGAGTTGAGTCAAGTTGAGCTGCTACCAGGTGGTGGAAAAGGGGCCATTAAAGTACTTATAGTTAACTTTAAACCAAGTCAAGGTCAATATAAAGATGAGGAACAACACTTAGGAAAGAAACTTAAAGGATGCAGCCAGTGATTTTCTGTTGTTTTCCACGAATCCCATTCAGAGATCAAAGGCAACAATGAATCTGGTGTATTCATTAAAATGCACTGCATTCACTGTTGCCTTCAGTCTCTGGATGTGATTTGTGGAAAACAACAAAAAACAAGAAGTCACTGGCCTTATTTATTAGACTAAATGCTGGAGACACCTGCATGTGTGGTAGGTGCCTCAGTACAGCGAGTAAGAGTCTGCATGGAAAAGAGACCAGCACAGTCTGTTAGTCGATCCATGTCCATTGATTTCCTTTTAATGGAACAGTTGCTGGGAGGAACAACTCGAATTAGTTTCACAGTGAAGAAGCAGCCATGTATGAAATCGGACATGCCCCATTGATCTACGACATACAGTGGAAGCAGGGGGCTTATCAAGATTAATTGGTATGAGCTAAATCACAGGGTTGTTAAAGGTGCAGAGCAGGACTGAGACAAACCTCTACTCACTGGCTTGTGGGTCACTCAGCAGGTTACAGATGGACCTGACTGAGGCTCTGCTGCTTCGGTTTCTGATACTCGTGGATACTTCTATCAGGAACACTATTTTACAGGTCTGTTTCCTAAAAATAAACTTGTGAAAAGAAACACATTTTGGTACTAATATGGGAAGACAGAAACAACACTGCGGCTGTTTCAGTTAGCTCTGACTTTATTATTGACTTCAGGGTGAATTTATTTTGCCAGATTGTACGTTATTGTGTAAACAAGCACAGGTTGCATTTTAGGCTTACCTGCTATCTTCTAACCAGAAGTCTCAAGGTAACTGGAGGTGTACTCGCTCTGTTTTACCTCTAATTGATACAGAAATAGTGACAAGTTAAATTATTGCACATAATTTGCATATATTTCCCTTAAAATGTGGTCAGACTCGGTTCTTCTAGCCAAGTTACAGTTATGTGATGTGGGGCTATCTACTACCCAGTACTGTAATGATTGTACAGATGGTCTCACAAATTCTTCTTGGTTGAGTATAACTGCCACAGCCTTAGAAACATGGTTCAGAGCTCAGATTGTCATCATATGGTTAATTTGGCAAAAGAGCTGTGTAAATGTAGGATTAGACAAGTTCAACCAGAAGTAGGCGACAAACGAACATTTTGCAACACATTTCAGCACCGACTCACAGGAGCCGGTGGCAGTCAGTCCATTCATACTGTTGTGGGGTAAATGGCAACAGAATATTGCGACAGTATTGATTTCTTTTTGCCTTTCGGGGTCTATAAGCTGTGAACAGCTGGAGATGGCAGCAATCGTTTGTCATCCAGTTTCCACCAGCAGTGGATACTGAAAGATCTCCCAGAGTCAAGATGTTAACAAGATAGAAGACGTTTGTAGGATTGTGTTCAGCGGCATCAGTGGCATTATTGCAAAATGGCCTTTGTTACATTTCATATCCAAGATGAAAGGTAAGTTAACTCTTTTTTTTTTTTTTAAATATTACATTTTTGAGTAAGTCATTTCAGGTACTACAGTGAGAAGCAGCTTTCCACTGCATAGTGCCATTTTTCTGTACTTTGTTGCAGGGAAACTACTTTCTTTTAAACAACTTCACAGAATTCAGTTGAATTTATATTTGACAATGCGATGCGAGTGAAAAGTGTCTTTTGCCAATTTTAAGATTCTAAAGACTCGTACTAAGATGTTGCTAATTGTCGCACACTTCACACCTGGTAATCGGTGGATTGTTCAAAGATTATTTTACTTAGCATTCGTTTTTAAAAAAATGCCGTGAACTGATACTATTATTGGATTTCAAAACACCCAAATATTGATTAAATATTGGCTTCAAAAGTGCAGTCTTTGTTGGGCTATATTAACAATTGACTTTTTATATTTTGTTTTCCTAAGTCATCATACCACACTAATGTGAAAAATGGGAGACTGGAACTTCCTTGGAGGGATCTTGGAGGAGGTGCACATCCACTCCACCATGGTTGGCAAGATCTGGCTGACCATCCTGTTCATATTCCGGATGTTGGTGCTGGGCGTTGCAGCAGAGGACGTGTGGAACGATGAGCAGTCAGACTTCATCTGCAACACTGAGCAGCCCGGCTGCCGCAATGTCTGCTACGACCAGGCCTTCCCAATCTCTCTCATCAGGTACTGGGTGCTGCAGGTGATTTTTGTGTCCTCGCCCTCCCTGGTATACATGGGTCACGCCATCTACAAGTTGCGAGCCCTGGAGAAGGAGCGTCACTGCAAGAAAGTTGCTCTCCGTCGGGAGCTGGAGGCAGTGGATGTGGAGCTGGTGGAGGCAAGGAGGAGAATTGAAAAGGAGATAAGGCAGCTGGAGCAGGGGAAGCTCAACAAGGCACCGCTGAGAGGTTCTCTGTTGTGTACTTACATGGCTCACATTGTTACTCGCTCAGTGGTAGAGGTCAGCTTTATGATGGGTCAGTACATCCTCTATGGACACAGCCTGAGCCCTCTTTACAAGTGTGAAAGAGAGCCATGCCCTAATGCGGTGGACTGCTTTGTCTCCAGGCCCACAGAGAAGACGGTCTTCATGATGTTCATGCAGGCAATCGCCTGCATCTCTCTATTTCTTAGCCTTCTTGAGATCATGCACCTGGGCTACAGGAAGCTCAAGAAGGGCATCCTGGACTACTACCCACATCTAAAGGAGGATCTTGATGATTATTATGTCAACAAGTCCAAAAAGAACTCAGTTGTGCATCAGGTCTGCATGGGCACCTCTGTGGGACGCAAAAGTACTATCCCCACAGCACCAAGTGGATACACGTTACTGTTAGAGAAGCAGGGCAACGGACCAAACTACCCTCTTCTCAGTGCCTCGTCTGCCTTTGTGCCAGTACAAGGGGACCCTGGTGCAAAACCAGAAAGCCACAAGGACAGCAGTGAGGGAGTGCCGAGCCCCACTGAGCAGAACTCCAACAACGCAAGCAGTGAGACACGTTCCCCTACTGCTGACAAACAGGATGAACCAGAGGAACAATGTTCATCCTATCATGAGGACTTGGAGTGTGTGAGCTCCAGGTATCCCACCATCCCTGTAGCAGACACGTCCTCATGCACTAGGCCATCAGGCATTGCAAGGATGTCACAGGGGGTCAGTCCACCATGGAACTGCTCCACAGTGATAGAGGGGAATGGCTCAGACAGTGGAGATTCCTACCACGGGAACAACAGCAGCATGAAGCTACGCAGCAGCTGTGTCAGCTCAAGAGTGAGGATGCTCTCTAAATCGGACATTAAAAGACCAAGCAGATCCCAGAGCCCAGACTCTGCAGGGGAGCTGAGTTCTGTATCTCGACATAGCTGCGAGAGCAACAGCCCCACCATCTCCTCTCCAATCCGCAGAGTGTCAGCAGCCAGCAGTGCCAACAGCAGACGAGCTCCCACTGATCTGCAGATATAGGGTACATCCCAATCCTATGACCTGGGATTGTTCCTCGAACTTTACTCAACCCAGAAATTGTTCTGTTCCGCCGTGTTGCAGGATGTCCCAAAGCTATTAGGGTACATCCCCTATTTTCACCGGTGTTTCCCTTGCTTGGGTCTTAGTCCCACCCATGTAAGATGCAAGGAAAAAATGAGTAAGGAGGAATCATGGTAATACCCTTTTAGTCACGAGAATGTCCTTTCCTCTGGTCCTTCATCTCAAGCATCCAATCAATAAAGTGGTGTTGGTTCAAAAAAAGACTTCCATGAAGGATGCGCTCATGTATCCTTGCTCTTGGCTCCTTCAGCAGCCTACTCACTCCTGAGAGCAGATACAATTCTTGGGGTACCCTTGATTTGTTTTTCTCACATTTCCAGGCTGATTACAGGCATCCAGATGGACCTTTAATGATCTGGTTGTATGCAGCAGATATCTGAATGACTGGTGGGAATGGAATATTGGACCACACATCTATAATGTTTGAGGCCACAACATGCTGGTATACAACCTGATACATTTATACCAGTAACACTGAAATAATCAAGTTCCTTTTCCAACATGTTTGAGAGTATTTCTCAAACATAAAAAAATACCCAGTTCTGGAGCTGTCTGCTAGTATAGAAAATAAGAAAATACCCTCGTCTGTCACTTTATTAGATACACATAGCTAAATTTAATGCAGGCTACAACAGACGTGTTATCCTCCTTCATGAAGGTGATAATGTTCAGTTTGTGTTCAGACTCTTTCACAGAGGTGTCGATTTACCTGTATGATAATTCTGGAGGCCATAGTTTGAACTGCTGTTGAACTGTACTTTATTATACAGAGGATGGTCTCTTATTTAGCCTAAGTTTGCTGATAATAATAGGGTGGACAAATTAATAGGAACACCTGTAAGTTAAACAGTAGCACAAACTACAGCCCCCTTTTGTGTACCTAATAAACTGACAACTTGAGTTTAATAGTGCTTTCATAATTTTTTTCCCTTTATTTCTTCCAAGCATATAAAAGAAAATTATATATATGCACTCATACACACAATTACAAAAATAACCATATAACCAATACGCATAAAACATCACAACATTCCAATAGTACATGCTTGAAAGGGAGTAGGAAGAAGTATACACTTATCTAGTCCTACCCCCTTTCTTAGACCATCAGCCATGTAAGCAGGAACTGTGTATGAAAAATGTCTTCAATCTTGCAGCTGATATCAATTAATACCTTTAAAATAACCAATCTGAAAAAGTATTTAGTCATTTTTATATGTTTATTTCAGATAAATGGCTGAGCAGAGATGCAATCTTTTGGTTGGAAACAAAGGATCAGTTTTAGGACACCTAGGGAATGACTGAAAAGAAATCATTCTGAACATGCAAAAAATGGTTCTTGTTGTGCAGCACAAACTAACAGTGATTTTCTGTTCAGTGTACACCTACTGTCATGTAATAAACATTTACATACTCTACAAAAATGCCATTGCTTAATTCTGCTTCTTTTACGTTTTGCGATGACAAAACCCAACAGCTCTACTCTTGGGCTCCCTCCTCGATGACAAAACCTAACAGCTCTACTCTTGGGCTCCCTCCTCAGGCGATGGTTCATACTGCATCAGCTGGAAAACATTGAGGCAAAGGTTAGAGGTGACAGTCGGCTCTGTTATCTGTAAATGTAGATGGGCATTAGACCAACATCCTACCCGGTTTCTCAGCTCTTTGTTCTCCTCCATGAGCAGGCTGTACTTCTGCTGTAGATCAGCTAGCTCCATGCGAAGAGTCTCAGTGTCTGCCGGCTCTGGACCAGCCGCACCAAGGTGAAGCTTTATGAAACTATACTGGTGATTAAGATCAAAGTTCTTACACAGGCTACTTAAATGACATATTTTAAAACATACTTTGCAGCTGACAGGGTGTTTGTCATGACAGCATATCTGCTGAAATTTTAGACATGTTACAAACAGGTAAGATCTCAAAAATGATATTGTGGTTTTCCAACAATGATCAGTAGATTGGATACAATTTTATCAATGTATCTTATTAGATGTTCTTGCTACACTGATGACCAAACTAAGCAGCTTATTCATGTATTTTTAATCTTTAAAAAAATTACTTTTTATATAGAGCATCCCTTTTGTTTTTGGGGATTCCAACACCTATTTCCCACCACTAAATGTAATACAAGAGAAAAGGATACTCCAGGGCATTGTTCGGTTTGTCCGTCTCCTCATAAAGTGCTACTAAAACTGCAAACAAACAAAAAACCGAATAGGTGATAAAACAGCCCAGAAAGGATAAAGGTGAAACGTGAACAAATGGATGAACACAAAGCTTTAGATGCAAACTGCCCTGCATACCGCTTGTTAAAGTGTCAATGACGCCAGATTTTTCCAGATATCTTCTAAATTGTTCCCGCTTCGATTCAGAGGCCTGAAACAGAACATTTAAGTTTTTAATGCGAAAAATAACCAGAGAAAATGAAGATCAATCGGCCTGTGGTACGTTCACTGCCTGGCTTCATGCGGACAAACCGGTGGCACATTGCTATTAGCTAGCTGGCACATGCTTCGGAAGACCGACAACAATCTTTATCGTTCAAACCCAATAAATAGTTAAAGTATGTGACCAAATACTTACTCTGTAATGGGCCATGATTGCAGTACCAGATGTATAATTTACGGTGGCGTTAAAATTTGTGACAGGTTAATTGGGTCAAACTACAGGCAGCTGGTTGTATCGTTATGTTTGTTTCAGTTGACAACACACAGGATGTGGATTCGTTGCCATAACAACTCAGTTAAACTGCCGTAGACATGAAACCTTTTATTTCGACAAACAGATTTGTGCAAGAACAGCTGTTAAAAGGAAGCTTTTGCGTTTGTGGCTATTCCTAATACAAGCAAGACGGTATTATGCTCCCAAGCTAACTGCTGACACACTCGATACAGTTACCACTGTGCTCATAGCCGATGTTGCCAGATTTGACCGATAAAAAGTACATTGATCAGGCTAGCCAACTACGATCCAAACATATACACACTACCAGGTAGAAACTACGCACCCTTTGACCCCTTGGTCCACGGGCCTGCATATGCATCAAGATATGACAAAACAATAATTAAAATATGAACGTACATAAGTTTCATTTTAGTTGCAAACGCTAATACGACATTTAGCTTTGATGATGATCATCAGTCATTGTGTGTTTTAGAATAGACTGTATATTGTCTATGATGTGGAGCCGAACCATTGATGTATTAAGAGATAGTACGTCCATGAATGTAACCTACCAAACTCATTCCCAGTCATGCCAGGAAGAACGCATATCGAGAAATGTATATAAGCCCCACAGGACGGCTTTATGGCTGACCTGGCAACACTAGGAAAAAAACAAAAAGAAAGAAAAGGGCGGCCCACCGTTGGTCATGTGTTGAAACGTCACATCCTTATAACTGATTTATAAAATAAATGATCTGACTGCATTGGACAGTTTACAGCAGGCGTAGCCACTCAAATATGTTTTAATCAGCGTTTTGACAACGCATCCTTAAATTACCTGTCACATGACTGTTTTTCTCTGGTAGTGAAAAACGGCAACACAGGTCCTTTGTTGTCTCACCGGCTCTGATATGACACAATTCATCCACTTCTATGTTTTTATAGTCAGTACAACGGACCAAACATTTTTAACCAAGTGTCTTTGGTTAAATCACTGACAAGGTAAGTTAACAACCACTTGTTTGTATATTTTGTTGAATACAAACAGTATTACACTAGTTGGTACTAGTTAACTTCTAAATAGCTTTAAGGTATACTGTAGATTAGGCATACCTAGTTCGTCCTGTATGGTCTTATTAACATGCACTCAGTAGTGGAGGAAGTATTTCGATCCTTTATTTAAGTAGAAGTACCAATGTTACCTTGTTAAAATAATTAATTACAGCTAAAGTTCTACATTCAACTTTTAATGTGTGTAAGGCTAAGAGTATTTTAAGTTAAATGTACATAAAGTTTCAAAAGTATAAGTATTTTACTTAAGTTATAAAGAAATAGGAAATCCCCTGTGAGTGTAAACATGTAGTATATCTTGTGATACACAATAACGTTAGGGCAAAAACCTTAAGGCAAAAATAGCACGATAGGAACAAACAATAGGAACTAAACACCTGTCACTAGCCTTAAATATCCCACTTTCTCCGAAAAATGCAGAATAACTGGACAGTACCAAAATATGTGGATATGGCTGATCAGTGCATTTTGAACCTACTTTATGTTCATTTCTGCTTAGAAATATCTAAACAAATTAGCTTTTTGCATCAGAAGTCACTGCAGGTTGTGTGTTTTTCAGACTTGTTACACCACCTCTTCAGGTATTTCCTTCTTGTTCCTTTTCCCCAGTGCTGCCTTCGATGAGATGATTTTCTTGTTTTAAGATTTGGTTACATGAAACCTTTTCAGAACCAGATGATAAAGCATGGACAGGATGTGACTGGTTTTCTTAGTTCCTGAACATGACATGTTGAAGTCAGCTCTGTATTTTTGGCAGCACAGTCTTTTCTGTTTGCATGTGACCTTGTTTTTCTCA